GCATGGAGCTCAATCCCTAATACTGTTTTAGCAAAATAATATTTACTAAAATGATGATGATGATGATAATGTTGTTGTTGTAAGAAAAGTTAAAATCTAGTAACATTCACACCAGACAATTGTTGGCACTATTGAGCCTTTATTTTTAATTTTGATCTTTTGTCTTGTAGGGTGTATAGTAACCTCCTTGGCTGCTACCTGCTAGATGCCATCAGTCCCCTCAGGTCCTGATCTGTGTCTCGTGGAAAAGAATCTTCCCCAATTGAGAACATAGTTTGATTGGGACTAGAGGGCCACCATCTTCTGTTCCATACCTGGCCTGTTACTTTCTTCCTCATTCATTTACTCCAGCCACATTGGCCTCCTGACTGTTTTCTGAACATACCAGCTCAGTACCTCAGGGTCTTTGTACTTGATTAATGTTCATGCTTTTGGAGTGTTCTCTCACATATCTACATAGACCTCTAACATTGCTAGAGATTAGAAAGGAGTTTATCTGTGTAATGTCAGCCATTTCTTCTGGAATAACAATCCATGAAAGTAGTAAATTTTTTTTCTGTTACAGTCTTTTGTCTTTAACTGAACAGTACTAGGCATATAGTTGGCATTTAGTAAATATCTGTCGAATGAATATTTTCTGCACTTCTATTAGAAGCATTGAGTAAGTAGATTAGAAGGTTGGTGTGTGTTTTAAATATAACTTTTATCTCTAATGATACACAACCTTTGAACTCTAAAATTGGCTTTAATCCAATGTTCACTATAAAGCAGCAGCCAGATAGGGCAGAGAAGAATGAGAAATTGGAATCCTCTAGAGTAAGATCCATGTTCAGGGCTGGGTATCATGGTGTACATCTATAATCCTAACAATTAGGGAAGCTGAGGCAGAAAGATTGCAAGTTTTAAGTTTAGCCTGAGCAATTTAATGAAACCCTGTCATAAAATTTTAAAAGGGCTGCAAATGTAGCTCAGTGCAGGGGGCCTGGCTTCAGTACGACAGGTTGAATCATTTATCTGTGTGACCCTGGAAAACCCATCACATTTCTCTGATCCTTAGTGTCCTCATCTGTAAAATGGAGTTAATACTGATGTTCCTTTCAGAGTGCAGTAAAACTAAATGAGCACAACAGCTGACACACATGAGGGACTCAAGTGTAACCTGTGTCCCTATTGTTTTGTAGTTCATGGAGAGACTCAGCTGTTTCTCATTACTACAGAACTGAAGACACAGGAAATGAAGGGGCTGTAGTGATTTAATGCTTTGATTAACATTTGGGGGTGAGAGAGTTGGAAAATCCACTTTTGAGAGCCTCAGTTTCCTTTAAAGCATTCTGTTTTTTTGTTTTTTTGTTTTTTTGTTTTTTCCTTTTTAAAGCATTCTGTTCTTAAAGGGAACAATTCTTTGGCTAGGGTTGTAACTTAGTGGTAAAGTGAATGCTCAGCATGATGAAGGCCCCGAGTTCAATCCCCAGCATCAACATCAAAAAAAGGGAAGAGTTCTTTTCAGGTTTTGTTGTTGAATTGATTCATGTGCGCCCCTGTGGTCCAGAACTGGTGCTGTCATAGTTTTCTTTTCCCTTCGTGGCAATGGTTGTACAGCCTGAAGATTCAAACAGATGTCTGGGTGGGTGACATGGTTCTTCTCTGTCCACTGAGCTCCTTCCAGACCAACTACCTCTGTGTCTTTCAGAATCTTCCCTAGAAAAGGAGAGGGAAACTCCGAGTCCCATCGACCCCAACTGTGTAGAAGTGGATGTGAACTTCAACCCTGATCCTGCTGACCTGGTCCTATCCAGTGTTCCAGGTGGGGAGCTCTTCAACCCTAGGAAGCACAAGTTTGCAGAGGAGGACCTGAAGCCCCAGCCCATGATCAAAAAGGCCAAGAAGGTCTTTGTCCCTGATGAACAGAAGGTAACCTGAAGTCCTTTTATCCATAAGGTGGCTCAAGAGTCTAGGCACTGGGCTGGGATGTAGCTCAGTTGTGAAGTATTTGCCTGTCATATGGTAGGCCTGGGTTCTGTCCCCAGTATCTCAAAAAAAAAAAAGTCTAGGTACTATGTCCTCTCACTTGTGATTTACCTGGAGGACCCTTCCTCTTGTGGACACCATTAAGAAAGACAAATTCAATGCATAGCGCCACATCCTTACAACTGTTAGAAATAATAGCAGTCACATGGCACTTGATCCCAGGGGCTTCTCTAGTTTCTCCTTTCTAGAAGTTCTGGCTATGTTGCTGTTCCTCTTATCTGGCTTTAGTCCAGCCGTTGGGCAAGAACTACTAGGACAGAGGAACTAGGGTTGAACAAGTCGTCTTTGGGGGGGGGGGCAGTACTGGGGACTCTGATTCAGGACCTTGTGCTTGCTGTGCAGGTGCTTATGCCACTGAGCTATCTCCTCCCTGCAAATCCCCATTCTGAAGGACATGCTTGTATGTCCCTGTCCTCAGGATGAACAAGCCACTCTCCAGTTGGTGATTCTGTAGGAACTAGTGGGAAGAAGGAGCTTTGCAGTTTTTTTCCTTCTCCTCTGAGAGACCTATAGGAAGGACTTTTAATCCTCAGCTCAATAGTGTAGTTCCTGTTATTCTCCCCAGTATGTAGCTGAAGGACCTGAGATGCTGAGAGGTTTAAGAAAGTTGCAGTTCTATAGGGTTCGGGGAGATGACTCAGTAGAATAAGCGCTTCCCTGGCAAGTGCAAGGGTCTGAGTTCAATCCCCATTTCTGCAAAAAAAAAGAATTTATAAGGGGCCAGGGAAATGGCTCCATGGAGTAAGCGCTTCCCTGGCAAGCGCAAGGGCCTGAGTTCAATCCCTGCTTCTGCAGAAAAAAGAAAAAAGAAATTTGCAGTTCTATTGGTAACAATCGTGCAGAGCTGAGATTTGCACTCAGAAGACTGAACTCAGGTTGCAGACCCTTCCCCACAGCCCAGGCATCTATATGAGGCAAGGCCATCGATGGTACCTTATGCTGGAGTGGCACAGAACAGGCTGCTGGGAAACAGGCCGCTTCCCTCCACCGTGAAGCTTACTGGAGGACTTTGCTTCTCATCTTGCCATCAGTGGGAGGGACAGTGGCCTTCCCCAAGGCCCCAGCTTGATCATACTTGTGAATTTTGAGGGGAACCTGGGTGGCAGAAAGGGAGGCTTGTGTGCCCTCATAGGGAAGCTGAGAGACCCACAGAGAGCACTGTCCCGCAGGATGAAAAGTACTGGACAAGACGCAAGAAGAACAATGTGGCAGCCAAGCGGTCACGGGATGCCCGGCGCCTGAAGGAGAACCAGATCACCATCCGGGCGGCCTTCCTGGAAAAGGAGAACACGGCCCTGAGGACGGAGGTGGCAGAGCTACGCAAGGAGGTGGGCAAGTGCAAGACCATCGTGTCCAAGTATGAGACCAAGTATGGGCCCTTGTAACCCGTGCCCCTGCCCGGGCGGGGCACTCCCTGCCCCTCAGACCTCTGCCTGGGGATCCCAGAACCCCACACATGCGTGGAGACTTAGGACTCGTCGTGGGTGCACAGCGGCTCCCGTGCTCCAGGTGTGTTCACGTCTCAGCTTCATTATAACCTGGCCAGCGCACAAGGCGACCTCCCGGGGGCAGCCTCCCCTAATGGGGAACATGAAAGAATCTACATAGAGAAGAACACCCCACATTTCTGTTCCTGGATGTCCTGGTTGCATCAGAAGGGACCTCTGGAGGATACATCTCCTTCACGGGATGGTCAGGCTTCCCCGACTCCCCTTGGTCTCTAGTCCAGGCTGCCGAGGCCATCTCTGCAGAATGAGTCATGGTCATTGTCACCCTTATGTCTTCTCAGGTAGCAGGTGCATTTCCACTTGGGGTGTGTCTGTCACACACCTCTCCCTCTCTGGAAAGTCTGAGAAATGTCCATTTCCATCTCCTTGGAGGCAGAAAGACACACCAGCTCCACTATTAAGTATGTGCAGGGCAGGGCAGCAGGCCTGGGGCAGGGGGACCCGGGTTGGAGTCTAGGTCTGGGCCTACAGCAGAAATCGCCACACATTCTCAGCCCTGCACCCTCTTTGTCTTTTGACTCTGACCTGGGCTTGGGGAGCCAGTCAGGAGGCCTGGGGATGGACTCTATCTGGCCTGCTGTAGAGGGCTATTCCCAGGGTGCTGGTTCCTGGGCCCTGGTGGCCCATGCAGGAGGAGGCCTTTGTATCTCCTCTCCGGGCCCATCCTGGAGGCCATCTGAATTTCTTTTGTCCCATTCAGTGGCCTCTAGGCTGCCATTTCTCTTCACCCAGTAACCATTCTTAGATCTTGGATTTAAAAGGAAAACCTTCCTCGTTAGGAAGTTTTAATTTCCTGGACTCAGCGTGCAGCTTCCGCATGGTGTTTGGAAAACTGGCTGCCATAGCCTCTTCTGGTGTGGGCACGAGCATGGGGCTTGTTTCTTGACAAACCCCTTTGTTTTCTTGCTCTGCTCACCAGTGTGGCCTAGGCCAGAGTCTCTTCTCCCTGAGGGCAGGTCTGTCCTCTGTGTTCTTGATCAGATTCCTCCTGCCTGATGCCCAGAGGTGTCTGCAGGACAGGACACCTGGGCAGGAGCCACTGAGGTGATAGTGTGACTCTCACAGAGTAACAGGATCTGGGACGTCCTCAAGGGGCTAGGCTCTCCCCTCAGTCTTGGCCAGGAGTCAGGGGCCATCCACACAAGCCTGGCCAAGTGCAGATCAAAGTTTGGATCTGGGACTTCACCACCACATGGCTGCCTCTCTGCGTGCAGCTGGACCATCTTTTTGCTCCTCCCAGAAAATGACTTGAGGAGAGTCATGGAACCCTTTCTCTTTTGGGTCAGCTGGGGCACTCCTGATGGCTGTTACTTGCTCAAGGCGGGCAATCTGTGAAGAAGAGGCAGAGGTGGTAACAAGTGCGCTTTGTCATACTTAACACTGGCTTTATTTAAGGTAGTGGCTCAGTCCTGGGGCCCAAATCTAAAGACTTCTGACAGATGTTAAGATTAGAGGCAGCATCTCTAGCCCTGGACTGCACCCCAGGGATGCCATGGCCTCCTCTGGGACCTGCACATTCTCCTCTCGGGAGCCTTGACAAGGGTCCTGGAGGCTAAGGGAGGGCTGGCCCCCCCTCCCACTAGGCACCTGACTTTTACTTCGTGGTTCTCTAGAAACCATGTGCACACTTTTCACTCTGTGGTGATGACACAGGGCCATTGCATCCAGCATGTCAGTGTCCTGCCCGGGCCACTAGCACGCCTGCCCGGCGTTCACCCTCTGGCCTGGCTGCTCGCCAAGAGGGAGTTCTCATTCTGTTATTGGTGGACAAGCCTTGAGCTGGAAAGCTCTTCAATTTATTTTTGGCTAGAAAGTAATGTTTGTGTTTTTCTAGTTTTATGTTTTTTAAGGATGGACACCTATTCTGTCCCAACCCCAGTGGATGGGATGGGGACTTGACATCTCTCCACATCCCTCCTCTGCCTGTGCGACTCGCTGCCTCCTCCCAGGAACATGGGGTCTGGTTCCTTCCCAAAGTGTTTGCTAGGAAAGAGTGCAGCTGCTGGGCTCTCAAGAGTCCCTTGATTAATCTGGCAAGGACAGGAAGGAGCATGACCACAGGTTGACATTCTGGGTCCCTTCCCCTGAGCTAGGCCTTGCAGAAAGACTTGGTGCCTGCTCAGTGTCTTGAAGATGGAGCTGACAGCCAAAGACAGAGGCCCCTGTGCACAGGTCTTTGACATCTTCTTAAGCGTGCCAGTATGGAGGAGCTGCTCACGCCAGCCTTTTGGTGGGCTGGCCTGGGGCTGGGGCGAGCTGTCCACACCTTGTCTTCAGTTTTGTGGCAGCCTTATCGCAGTCTTGAATCAGACAAATCATAAATGAGCTAAAATATTTCAAGAATGTACATATAAGAAATGCCTATCCAGATATAGAAATCCTTCTGTTTAGGGAGAGCCAGCAGCCTAGGGAGGACCAGGGTAATCGTGCCCTGGCCAGAGGACGAGCTCTGCCACGTGACTCCTGAGGCCTGGGAAGGATGGCAGGTTGGTGACAGGCATGGGCAGGCTCCTTTGTGCCAGCTGAGTGGCTGTCCACACAACCCTTGATACAGAGGGCCATGGAGCTTCCCGTTTTCATGGAAGAGCTCCACCCTAGCTCCTGTAACATCTGTTCATAAGTGCAATAAATTTTTCTAGAAAATGGTGAAGATGACTCCAGGTGGAGAATGCTGTCTTTTGGTGTTGGGGATGCCAGAACACCACTTGGTTTTATTTTTCTAAGTGCATGTGACAAGAGTGTGTGGGGCTCTGCATCCTCCCTTGGGAGCTGGCACCCCAGCATGCCCCTCCCCTGTACCGTGTGTGTTGGGGAAGGAGGAAAGAGAAGATCCCTTCTCAGCTGGAGAGGGGCACAAGCAGACTCAGCCCATTGGCCTTATGTGCGTGTGCGTGTGTATGTGTGCGCATGTGCGCGCGACTGTGTGTCTGCTGGTGGGCCGGAGTGATGATGTGGGGAGCGAAGCCGGGAATGTATCCTTTTCAAAATTAAATATTTTGAGACGAGAATTTTGCAACTGTCTGTCATTCCCTGTTCTCTTCCTGGGGTTCCTTTCTGTGTGTGTTGGGTTAGGAGCTTGAGAATCCAGCCCAAAAACTTACGTCCCATTAGAATCACACTCCAGACACGCCTCTCAGTTTCCTTATCTGTTGGGAGTAATTCATCTACCAGACAGAAGCAGTGTGGACAGATAAAAGCACTGTTCAACCATTAGGTAGGTGGGGGGCTGCCTGCAAAAGTGTTTCCCAAACACTTGACGAAATTTAAACAGAGAAAGTCCTCTCTTCCTCTGGATGTATTTTCTGTCTGTAGTCATGAGACGGTCACAGTTCAACACAAACAGGTGCAGCCATGTTCGGGGTGCTAGCACTGTTACTGCTGACAGAGTGGCAGTGTTGGTGTCCCTCGGTCCCTTCTCACGCTGGCCTCCATCCATAGGGACTCAGGTGCACCAGCCTAGGCTGAGCCTGCCATGAGCCCCAATCCCTTCCTGACCACCACACCCCACGTCTCCCGTCCCACTTCCTTCCTCAGTCCACCCTTCATAGGCAAGACACCGCACCTTCCTGAGCTCTCTGCCCTGGAAGGCCCTGTGGTTGGGGAGACCAGGAGTCATTTCTCATTTTGCTTATGAACATAAAGTGCATTGGAAGTTTGAAAACAGAGTAGGAAGGGGTAGTCTTTTTATTGTATTTGTTTATTGCCATACTGGGGATTGAACCCACCACCGAGCTACATTCCCCTGCCTCTTTGATTTTTTTGATACAAGGTTTCCCTGAACTGCCCCGGGTGGCCTCAAACTTGCGAACACCCTGCCTTAACCTCTTCAATAGATAGGTATATGACACCATATCTAGAAAGATAGATTAGAAAATAGACACATTGCAGGCCAAACACTGAGGCTCAGGAAGACCAAGTAATGTGCCCCAAATCACAGCAGGGGAGCTCAAATCCAAACCCAGACCGAAGAGGGTGACCTCCCTCAGACAGATCCCCCGTGGCTTTGGGCTCTGCCACAGCCTGCTAGCCAGCTGCCCACCTCTAGGTCAGCACTGTCCTGTCTTCAGCTGGTCCCGGCTCTGCGAGCACTGGCAGCTACATCAGCCCTCAGCCCCAGGGAGGCTGCTGTCACTTTATGGGACTTCATTCGAGAACACAGTTTGGTACTAGAGCACTTGCCTTCTGTGCTCAATGCTCTGGGTCCGACCACCACCACCAAAAAGAATATTTTATTCAACAGATACTTACTATATGCTTGTCTTTTTGTCAGCCATGGCTCCTGCCCTTATAGTGTCTTAGAAAAAGCAAACATTTGGTGGACAAAAGTACAAAGTCCAGGCATGGTATCACATACCTATGATTCCAGCACTCAGGAGGCTGAGGCAAAAAAATCACAAGTTTGAGCCCATCTTGTACCATTTAGTACTTTAGCAGAACTTTGTCTCAAAATAGAAAATTAACCAAAGGGCTGGGATATAGCTCAGTGAGAAGGACCTGGGTTCAGTCCCAATGACTGGGGGAAAGAAAGATTGTGTTAAGGGTTACAAGAAGAAGAGAATTGGGTGGATGGGGCTGGGGAAGACTTCTCTGGGTTTCCCTGAAGCTGAAACCAGGACAAATGGGTGTAACTTGTCCCCATGGTCCCAAGCCAGAGGCCTACAGGCAGCTTCTGCACTGGTCCAGGTGCCTCAGTGTCTACACAGCAGGCCAAAGTGATAAAGCATAAGGAGAGGAGTTGTGGGAGGACCCAGGCTGCTGCAACCCAACACCCCTAGGCCCTTGTCCCTGAGGTTGGAAATAGGATGAGACACCAGGTGGGACAAAGCAAGAGTCAGATCTTTAGGCAAAGGCCTTGCTCAGCCCCATCCATCCCTGGGTCCAGAGGTGAGTAGGAGACCCCCAGATCCTAGAAAGCCCTTCCCTGAGATTTGCCATGCTGAGGGCTGTGTCAACCCACCCAGCCAGGGCCTGTTTAGCCCACTGCATTTTCCACTCTGCAAACACTGTCACTATCACTCCAGGCAGAGATAGTGCAACGATGGGAGACCCAGGGGCCACGGTGGGCATGAAACAAAGCTCTAAGGCGCTCTGGCTGCAGGCCAGACAGTCCTGCATGCAAACCACCTCCATCACCAACTTGGGGGGAGATCCTCGCCAACCCCTTCCTCCCCCCGCCCCACTTCGTTTTCTGATCTACTGAATGGGACCCCAGCCTCAAAAGGCTGTCTCGAGCATCACCTGGAATGGGGTGGACACTAGCCTGGGGGAGCTAGAATGGTGGCCCTGGTGTAGAAGGTACCAACCTATGCTGGTGTCACCCCCAGTCTAGCAGCTTGGGGAGGTGTCTCGGGCGGGAGTGATGGAGCCTGGGGCATGTTCCTCCTCTTCCCTGAGCTACTTCCCTCATACAGCAGAGACTAGACAGGCTGCCCAGATAAAGTGCGCACCTGACATGATGCGGCTCATTAACTCCGATCTCCCAGCCGCCCCCAACTCCCTGGAGGACAAATTTCCAAAGCTGCACAGATGCCCTCTTCCTTGGCTGCGCCCTGCTCACTGCCGAACAGGCCTTCCCACACCGTCCCTCGGCTGTGCCAGGCTGGTCCAGCTGGCAGCTCCTGACGTCAGCAGCTAATCTGGGAAAGCTGCCAGCAGAGGGGGAGCAGCAGGAGAGAGGAGAAGCAGCCTCACGGTGGGCGCCCCCGTTCGCACCGTGCCTCACTTGGGCCCGTTCTGGCCTCCCAACCGTGCAGGATTAGGTGAGCGCCAAGCATAGCTGAAGGAGCCACTCCCCTCCTCCTCCTAGCGGGCAGGGGCTTGCTCTGCCTCAGGTCTGGCTGCCGCCAAGGGCCCTTCTGGCTGACAGAAGAGCGCCCTGGTGCTGCTTCCTGAGCAGGAGGCACGGAGACCACTCTCACATCCTTACGATCACCCAGCCTTGGTTCACAGAGCAAGAAGCTGACTCAGGGAGGTCTCAGGCAGCATCAGCTGAACAGCCTGGAGAATCAAACCCAGGGTCCTGTGCTGCTGAGTCCTGGCTCTTTGGTTTGGGGTTTTGTTTGCTTGTTTCACTAGTTGGTTTTGTTTTTTAAACTAGGATTGAGGGGCTGGAGAGATGGCTCAGTGGTCTAAGGCACCTACTTAGAACAAGCTTGGCAAAGCATCAGGGACCGCGGTTCAATCCCCCAGCACCACATGCCAGCCAGCCCCGCCCCCTGGTGGGCTGAGCTGGCCACACACACACACCACATTCTCTCTCTCTCTCTCTCTCTCTCTCTCTCTCTCTCTCTCTCTCTCAAATAAATAAAAATAAAAAAATAAATAAATAAACTAGGATTGAACCAGGGCCTTCTGAGCTACGTGCTCAGCAGTCCATGCCTCTTAAAATAGGATCTCAGAATCACTAAGTTGCACTGACTGGGCTCGAACTTGCTATCCTTCTGCCTCAGCCTCCCAAAGTGCTGGGATCACGGGCTTGTACCAACATGTCCTGCTGACCTGGCTCTCTTTGCCATCTGTCATCTCCTGACAGTACAGGCAGTGCTGGGCCTGTCCATGCACTGCCAAAGCAGCCAGGATAGAGGTATTGGCTGACCTCTATCCTGGTGATAGAGGTGACATCTGTCTCCCTGTGTATGACCTGAACCACCCTGGCCAGCAGCGCAGTGCTCAGATCCAGCTGTCAGCAACAGGAGAAGACATGGTTGTCCTACTAGCTGGGTCAGGACCTTCACAGGGACCCCACAGGGCACATAGAGAAAACAGAAGCTGAAAGAAAGTGACCTCCCCGAGGACACACTGGGTCTGCACTCCAGCCTCTCACTTGATCCCCTCATCCAACTGGTCACAGAGTCTCGGAGCCCACCCTTTCCCTCACTCATACTATACCCTGCCCTCTCCCTCCCACTCTTGCGCTCACTTTTTATTTTTTTGCCTTGACCTCTTGAGTGCCATAGTCAGAGGCTTTGGATGACAAGGGTCTTGGAAGTTGTCACATTTGGGGCCTCCCTAAGTGGATGTGAAAGAGACCCAGAAAAGGAAAGGAACTATCTGTGGGTACAGACAGAAATATGGGACTCAGAGTCAGTGTGGTATTGCTTTCCTATGATTACTGTACTCTGGGAGGCTGAGGCAAGAGGATCTCATGTTCAAGTCCAGCCTGGACAACTGGGTAACTTAGCAAGACCCTGTGCCAAAATACAAAAAGGACTGGAGATCTAGCTCAATGTAAAGACCCTATACTCACAGAAAAGAGAAAGAGAGGGAGGGAAAGGGGTAAGGATATAAAAAGACTGCTTAGGCAAGCCCAGGGACCAGAGTTCGATCCCTGGTCCACATGCCATGCTGGCCCTGAGACCAGGTGTGGTGGTGCACGCCTGTAATCCCAGTGCTAGAGAGGCTGAAAGCAGAAGGATCACTGAGTCCAAGCTGCATAGTGAGACCCTGCACCAAATATATAAAAAATAATACAATTTTAAAGGATATAAAAAGAATTAAGATATGTACATGTTCCACCTCCCCACAAGGAGTGTGATCAGAATGTACTACAAACATGTACTGATAAAAATAAATTCTTGCAAAAAAAAAGGAAAAAAACCCATTCAGGATAAAGAGTAGGGTAAGTAGGGCCAGGTGGTGGGCCTGGAAGGTGGAGGTGTCCCTGTGTCCCTACCCTTGCTAAACTCTAGCTCACCCCACATCGCCCATCCTGTCCCGATTACTTGGGAAAGGACCCTGTTCTCTTTCCTCCAGGGTCATCACTCCCTCTCTCTTCACTGTGTCATTCCACCATCCCATGCACAGACTGAAAAATCTCCAGTCCTAGCCAAATAAGGTGGTGCAAACCTGTAATCCCAGCACTGTGGGAGGTTGAGGCAGGAGGATTACAAGGACTGCACAAATCCCACCTGGGCAATTTGGTGAAATCCTGCCTCAAAATTTTAAAAAACCTTTAAAGGGCTGAGGACGTAGCTTAGTGAAACCCTCTGGGTTCAATCCTACT